GGCAAGTAACAACCTCGGGGCTCCTCGCTGGTTAAACAGGGACAGGGAATTCCACCTAAGGGTAGGGTGGGGTCGAGAGGCAGTAGATGTGAGTCAGGCTGCTTCTTGTGGATGGCGTGGCCTCAGCTCACAGTGCGTTCTTTGAATTATGCTTTTTCCCAGCCTGGACTCTGTTTACATCTGATGTTAGTTCATTTTTCATCCTCCAAATACCCATGGAGTAACCCCTGAGCACCTGCTGTGTCTGGCCCAAAGAGCTAAACAGGAGGAAATGCTGTGCCGTTTATCCCACATGCCCCGCAGTGCCCTGGTGCCAGACCCAGACAAGAGCACTACAAGTTATGGGGGAGAATCTGTAGATCCATATACCTCGTGGACATAGATGCAAAATTTGTAAATAAAGTTTTAGCAAATTGAATCTAACCGTGTATCCAAGGATTACACACATGATACACGATGTGTGGTTCATCCCTGGATTGCAGGATTGGCTTACCAATCAAATGTCAGCCAGTGCAATTCACAGCATTAGCAACCTAGACGATACAACACTCTGGATTGGTTTTAAAGGCATTCTATTTAGTGAAAAAAGTCAATCCCAAAAGGTTTCATACTCCTGATTCCATTTTATGTAATGTTCTCAGATTGACAAAATTATAGAAATGGAGAACAGAGCAGCCAAAGACCAGGTCAAAAGGGTCAGGAACAGGAAGGAGAGCTGGCTATAAAGGGGCCACATGAGGGAGCTTTTTATGGTCATGGAACCACACACCCCATCACACCGTACAAAATGGAGAGATGTGAGCTAGGCCTGCAGTCCAGCACACAGTGCTCTGCAAACCTTGGCTTCCGGCTTCAATGCTGTATCACAGCTGCTGAAGATGCCCCCGCTGAGCAAGCTGGGTGAGAGGTGCTCAGGACTCTGTACTATTTGTGCAACGTACTTATAAGCCTAAAATCTTTTCAAAACAAAACTATCTTTTTAAAAAGCAACTTTAAAGCTACAATTATCTCAAAGTAAAAAGTTTAATGAAAAGAAATAATTGATACGGGCCACAGTTTATTAGGTGTGGCAATTGAAATGAGGAAATGGTAAGCAGGACCTCCAAGACTGAACTAGTGTCAGCCCACATCAAATAACGAGACAGGAAGCGCGGGCACCAGAACAATTATCTTCAGCTCATCTAAACTGCAGGAAGCCATGCACTGCATTATGCAAAGTGAACGACGTTTAAAATTATGAGCAAGAAACTTTGTAGGTCTAGGTGAAACGTAGTGTGACATAGTTGCACTAGAAACAATGAGCGCCAACATTATGAACATCTCTCCTGCCCTAGATTCCAACCACCATATGTTTTCATGACAAAAATGATTAGAACAAACCAAAACTGCCACAGACAGAACTGGAGGCCGCATTGACTGTTACCAGGGCCCAAGATGGTGTCGGGATCCAACAGCTGCAATCCCGGGCCACAGGAGACTCTGGGAACACTATGTCCAGGAGCCGCCTTCTGAGCTTTCCCACCTTAGGACAGCAGTGGAGAGCAGTGCTGAAGGGCCTGAGTCAGGATCCAGGCCACCTGGTGTCCCTGGGGAGGCAGACATATCTCTGGGGACCCCAAGGAAGGAAGCAGGTTGGGTGGGGCGGGTATGCTGAGTCCAGGGGCCGCAGGGAGAAGCAAGTCTTGGAGCACTTGGTGAACGGCTGAGGTGACACTTTGTTCCCTCTGTGTCCCTGAGGGAGTGTGACATAGAAGCCTGGGAACCAGCAGGAGACATTCCTGGGTGTTTGGGGTGGCTGGGTGAGGGGGTTGTCTAGAAGCATGTTGAAAGCACGCATTGCCCAACTTTTTGCCTTATTTAGAAATTTTTAATAATTTTTCTTAAAATGATTTCCCTCTGACAGAACAAACAGGCGCTGTTTGCTTGCCGAAGGAGCCAGGAGAGGCTGAGGCTGATACAGTGCAGCCCTCCCCGAGCTGGGGGAGGGCTGACATCTTTGGGTGTGAAGCTCCATCTTTAAGAAACTCCTGCATCGCTTTTCCCCATTACAGCCTCTCATGGAAGTTGGTCTCTGGCAAACTCTGAGCTGGGGCTGGCTCTCTGAAAGAGCATCATCAAGATGCATCCTCCAAAGCCTGCCCACTGCTCCCCGAGATGGGCAGGACTCTTGAGAGCCCTGTTCCCACAGGACCCCCAGTTGGCTGGTGGCGCCTTCTGCATGTTATGGAGCCCGAGTTTCCTGTCCCAGCCGCTCGTCCAAGTTAAGAGAGGATGCTGCTCAATTCCTTAATACAAAGGAAGTCCTCAGAGGTGCGACATGCCCATTGACCTTGGAGAGGTCACACTGGCGGGGCAGTGGGAGGGTGTGTGCCGCTCTTTCAGCCCCTTCCGCCCCTCAGGACCCTGTGAGGGATGAGCTCCTGTGGCTCAGAGAGCCGTCGGTGGGCTTCTCCCTCTCCTCTGATGCGTGTGTGACCGTCACTATCTGTGTGGCAAGAGTCTGTGGCGGGTGCTTTGCCAGCGGTCAAGCACAGGACCTGTGGTCTGCCTTCCTCGGAGAATAACAAAAGGAGGTATGTCACGAGGGAGGTTCAGGGCCCTCCCTTTGGGCTGGTGGGAGGAGAGGCTGAGAAATGAGCAACTCTGTTCTCTCCGATCCTGCACGGTGCAGAACCAACGCAGTCCCTTCATCATGGCCTCCTCTTTTATGTGTGGACCTATTTGACTGGCAGGTGTTCTTGGTGAGAAGAATCTCTCCCAGTGCCTTGAAAATGTGCCCAGGGCCAAGGAGACATGGTCCCTGAACTCCAGGAACAAGAATTATAGATGGGGGGGGGGGGGGGGGGGGGGGAAATACAGTCACATAAAGACACTTGCCGACGTGTCCCATGAGACATTTATACAAGTTCCAACTCTACTGGGCAACTTGAAGAGAGGAAGAGGTGTCTCCACAGAGAGGTGGAGTTCGCCCAGGACGACCCTGGGGGAGGAATTCTGAGCAGGATCTTGGGGACAGGGAGCGGGCAGCCGCATAGAGGGGAGGTGGGTGGGACGCCGCACCAGCCAGGGGGTGGGGAGCCCCGCTGCGTGTGCTCAGGTGGGGAAGATGAGAAGCCAGAGAAAAAGAGAGAAGGCAGGAAAGGCTCAGAGGAGCGCTGAGAGGAGGGGCTGCAGCGACACAACTTCCTGGCTGGGTCTGAAGATGAGAAAAGGTGTTTGTTTTCAAACTCGCCTGAGGAGCTGGCCGTTCCTCTGCCCAGCCAGCTCTGCGCTCCCAAGTATGTTAAGCTGCTCCCACTGCCCCTTTCTTCCGCCACCGTCCCTGATGGAGAGTGAAGTCCGCTCCCCGTGGGTTCCGCGTGGCTTCTATTCCATGCCCTGCAGCGCCCGAGCTGCGGGTGGGACTGGCCTCCGAGCCGCCCCGAGTTCCCCGCGATGAGTTCCGCGCGCGCCAAGGGGAATCTGCCTCAGTGGCCCAGGGACGAAGCTGTCGTGCGGTGGGTGTTCCACTGGCCACGGGCAGGCGAGGGTCCTTCCCTTCCCACTTACCGCCCCCGAGAGTCCATTCGTTCTGAACACGGGCCTCTGGGTGTTTACGGCGACCTCGAAGGGAGGCGCCTGGGCGCGCGGCGCCCGCCGGCGGGTCTGCCCGTGCCCCCGCGGCGCCGCGCCTGGGCCCCGAGCGGCTCCGCCTACTGCCTTTGCGCTCCGCTGCGGCAGCCTCGCCTCGGCCGGGCGGCCGGAGGAGCCCAGGGGAAGGGTACCGAAAAGCCAGGACTCGCATTTCCAAATAGCCCCTCCATTTGTCTGCCTTCTTCTTCTTTAGCCTGAATTACTTCAGGCCCTTCCAACTTCCAAAGGGCACTTGGTTGCTCGTAGAACAACCTGCGTGGCATGAAAAGACCTTCGCAGTTTGGTCCCATCGGCTCTCGCCCAGCTTCCCCTCCCCAGTGACCTGCCTAAACCGCCCCCCAGCGAGCCCCTGGCCTTTGCCGGCCCCACGCACGCTACCCGCCTCCCTCCGCGGAGAAGCGCTGTCCCCCTGCCGACCCCCTGTCGCTTCCCTGACCCTGACGTTAGGTTAATGTCTATTTTAAGCTGAATCCGTCCCTGAGCCCTCTGTGCCGCCCAACCCCAGGGACCGGCACCGGCCGCTCAGCCGCCTGAGCTGTCCTCGGACATCTTTGTGCAGAAGCCCAGGGTGCGAGCGCCGGCGGCAGGACGGTAAGGCCGCCTGCTGCGCCCGCTGGCCCAGAGCCCAGCACCTGCACAGGCCCCTCCCCGAACAGCGGGCACCTCTGCAGTTTCTGGGCTGTGTGCCCTGCAGGTGCTACATTGCCATGTGCCACGGCTCTGACCCGTCCCGCAGGGAGGGTGTCAGCGTGGGTTGCAGGCAAGTGGCTGACACCTTGATACACCGCGCTTCTGTCTCACCGACACCAAAATTGCGCGGTGGCCTGTGGCACAACGGGGCTCAGTGGGGTGATGGCTGCTGCTTCTTTACTGAGCTCCAGTTGATTGGAGAAGTCCCGACACAGTGCCCCGCCTCACTGCCAAGCTGTGTGTGGCCAGCTCCTGCAGCTTTCCTTGCTGCGATGACCCCAGGCTGCCGATGCCCTGGTGAAGATCTGGGCTCCCGATCGTTCCTAACCCTCAGTCTGTGACACTTCAGTCCCGTCTGTATTTTCCGCAGTGCTGGTGGGGAGTGAGGGGCCAGCTGGAGTGGTCGCCCTGCCTCCCCCGAGCCGGGGCCCCAGGCAGCCAGCTGAGCACTCCCTTCCCACGGCCCCCCCACCTCCTGCTCTGAGCATCTGCGGTTTGCACTCTCCATCCACAAAACTCCTAGGCACCTTTCCCCTCTTTTTAAGACCTCAGAGGGACATTTTTCTTGGACATTCCATTCATAATTTGTCTCACGGGGACAGGATGTGACAGGGACTTCCTCCTTTTGTTTCTTTTTCTTGGTTTTTATAGCAAAGGGCAGAGCAAGTAGTGCATGTCTTAAGGTAGAAGGTGGGTGGGAAATTCTGTCACACGCTCTGCCTCCTCCCCGGGGGACCGGGACTCTTTACACCGACTGTCTCCTTTGCGGTGGAGCTGGGACCCACCTGCCATTTCGGACCCTTTGCTGCAACCTGCCAGGTGCGTGGCTCATTCTCAACACCTGCCTAAAGCTCCACCTTTCCGAAGTGGAACGCAGAAAATGATGGCTTTTGGAGGCAGTGCAGATAGAGTGTTGGCCCCGTCTTCCCAGGGGGGCTGGCTGCAGGTGGGCTGTTTGGGGTGTGGCCACGGGGAGAGGCCCGGTCAGGCAGCTCCACCTGGGAGGGCAGGAATCTGATGGGTCCCCTTTTCCCTTCCTCCTCACTGCGGGATCCTTCTTGGGGAGGCTCATCTGCCTTAGAGACGAGGGGCATAAACCCTCTTGTGGACCCATTGAAGTCAAGCCAAAGCAGCAGTGAGCATCAGTCGCCATCCGTGGAGGGCCTCGCCGTTCGCGGGCACTGAAGGAGGAAAAGGTGAAAGAGCGCGGAGCCCTACCCTGGGGCGCGCGGCTCGCGGCAGCGGGAGCGGGAGGGGGCGACGCACAGCCGCTGCGCAGCCCAAGCCGCCGAGGCGGCAAAACCAGAGCAGCCGGCAGAGACGCTCAGAGAGGAGGGGCAGGCGAGCGAGAGAGCACCCGGCGTTTCCCGGGGGCTGGAGGGGCAGGCGGGGAAAACTGGAGTGGGGTTGGAGTGCGGCCAAGGAGACAATGAAGAAGAGAGAAATGAGGGGGAAACAGGCTTCCCCGGGTGCGGGGTGGCGGCATTTCTTCAGCACCAATGTGCACGACCCTGCTCTTCCCGGGTCTTCAGGAGGGACCCGCCAGAGGCTCCCTGGAGAGCAGGGAGAACGTACCCACTAGCAAAGCTCAGCTCCAGCCCGAGACCCCCTTTCTGGTCGTCCTCCCCCTTGCCGGCTCCTCCATCGTGTCCCCTCTCCCCCCAGCAAAACCTCCTCACCCGAACCAGAACCTGAAACCCCTGCCCCAACGATGTGAACGGCTGAGATGGGACAGCATTTCCCCTCACAGGGGCTTGTTCTCCCCACTGAGGACCAGAGCCTTTAAAATGCAGAGGATGGAAGGGCACAAGGCGGGAAGAGGGTGCCCTTAGGGCCTTCAGCCTCTCCGAAGTCACTTCAGGAAGTCACCCGTCTCCCTCTGATTGAAAGCTTTTGAGTCATGTCCTCCTGTGCTGGGAGCAAAGGGACCACAGATCATGCGCTGTATGTTCAAGAAGATACTGCCCACAAGCTTGAAGGGAGACTTGGGTTTTGAATGGGGTTTTTAGATTGTCGTTCTTTTGTTGGTTGGTGGTTGGTTGGTTCATTTGTCTTGGGGCTGACACCTGGGGACTCGAGCCTCTTTAGGACGCAGGAGATGCTGCTGGGCCAGGTGCTGTCGTCTGCAGCGAGGCGGTCCCTAACACGGGTACTGAAGATCCGGGGGGCAGGAGACGGAGGGTGCGTCCGGTCCTGACACACGGCACAGCGGACGGGGAATTTGTATTCTGAGACGTGCAGAGCTGGGGCGAAGCCCCACTCCACCACCCCCGAGCTGTGTGCGGGCAGGTCACGTAGCCTCCATGTGCCTCGGTTTCCTTGTCTGTGATTTGGACCTCTGGCAACAGTAATCTTAACACTTCTAGTGTAGTTAAGTGATTGATAAATACTAAGGTCTCAATTTGTGCTAATTTTTGTTGTTGCATGTGTGTGTATACAACCTCCTCTTCCTCCTGCAGCCTTGATGACAGAAATCACATGGGTGGTTCATGTGGCTGTCTGGGTGGCTCAACTGGCTGGAGCACCATCCCATACACCAAAAGGTTGCGGGTTCAATCCCTGGGCAGGGCAACCGATTGATGTTTCTCTCACTCCCATCTCTTTCTCTTTCCCTTTCTCTCTCTCTCTCTCTCTCTCTCTCTCACACACACACACACACACACACACACACACATCACAACAGAGAACTGTGGTCCTGCAGTAATTTCAGGGTCTGGAACACAGTGCTCCAGCCCCTGGAGGTGGCAGCCCCCATGCTCGGGGACGTTGGGGCCCAGCTGTGGGCCTACTGAGCCACGGCTGCCACAGGAGGACTCAGGATAACAGCGAATGCAAGACTTGGCTAATTCCTGAGAGCCGGCCAATCCAAGTGGATCTGTAAGGTGTCCTGAGTCCCTTTCTTTGGAAGGACTTGGCCGGTGCTGGTAGACCTTCATGGCTTTGCCCTCCTGGGGCTCTATGTCAAGAGTCCAGAAGAAAAGACTGAGGCCTAAAGAGAAGAGAAGGGAATGGGGAGAGGGAGAGAAAATGGAAAGCTAATGTGCACCCCTGCTCTGGGGTTCTTCCCTGCTGATTTCCAGGCCTGACACATGCACGTTCCTGCCTCCAGCCAAAAGGGGGACGGGCTAGACTGGCCAGAGCCTGGACCCTGGCACAAGGCCTCAGTCTGCTGGTGTCAAAAGTCATTCTAACAGCTGCTGGCCATTGAAACAGCCAGGACCCCTCCAGAAGGGACTCGACCTCCTCCCCTACAGAGGCCCCTCCTGAAGCACAAATCAAGCGAGTCCACCCTGCCTCCCTCCACCTTCCCGCCTGCATGTGAGCCCGCGGAGAGCAGGCCCCTAGTCCCTGGCCCAGTCCCTCCCAGCTACCGTCCCTACCGCCGTCCTGCTTCTTCGGCCCAGGTCCTTCTGGGGAGCCTCCCCTCTCCCATCAAGCCACCCACACTCTTGCTCTGGCCACTTGTCTGCTGAATGACCCAGCAGCTTTCAGTTCCTTCATCTACACCAGAGGTGTCCCACCTCGGCCTGCGGGCTGCATGTGGCCCAGGATGGCTGTGAGTGCGGCCCAACACAAAACTGTAAATTTACTTAAAACATCATGAGATTTGTGTGTGTGTGTGTGTGTGTGTGTGTGTGGTTACGTGTCGCAATGTATTCAATGTGCGGCCCAAGACAACCCTTCTTTTTCCAGTGTGGCCCAGAGGCAGCTTCCCCTGGACACCCCTGAGCCCTGCCAGCACATCACTGACAGTGCAGCAGGGGCTCTGCAGCCACAGGTCCCCAGGAGCACTGGTGGTGTCACAGGTCTGTGTGACAAGGAGAACCAGTGGCGTGGGGTAGCCAAAGGAGGGACAAGGGAGGCTGAGGACGCATAGAGTAGAAACTCCATGGAGGTTCCCTCTCCCCCTGCACCCGCCACCACGCTCGATGGCGTGAAAGGGGCAGGGTGCGGCCCTGAAGACGCTGGAGGGCAGCCGTGTGGACAGCAGGTCGTGGAGCAGAGGGAGGAGGTGCTGACTTTCAGTTAGAGCACCAGCCAACCCAGGGGAGGTTACTGACCCTCTGAGCTAGTTGGCATTGGTCTTCTCCATTGTTCAAGCAAAGGAATTGAGGTTCAGGCAGTTACAAAATCTGTCTGAAGTCCCACAGCTAAACAGAGGACAAATATGGAGAAGATCGCCTATCTCCCAAGATGTATTGGCTGCTCACACTCACTGGCTGTCATTCTGCAGGTCCCAAGGGGATGTCAAGAGTAAGGGGGGACAGCCCTCACCTGGGGCTGGGTTTCCCGGGCCACCGATGGGGGCACTAGATGGGACCACACCATCACTGTGGCCTCAAAGATGCTATGGACTCAGGGACAGTCACCAGCTAACTCCTGGTGGCTACACCTGAGGTTCCAGAACTGGAGGAAGATGTTCCAGGTGTGGGTAAAGTTGGCCAGCAGCTGCCAGACCTGCGTCCCATTCCTGAAAGATCAGAACTGCGTGTTTGTTCCTCTGTTTTGTGGACCTGACGTTCCAGGCAAAGGGAAGTGGGAGCAAGGCGGGGCGGGGAGAGTGAAAATGCATGTGAGGGCTTTTATTGATTTCCGTTTGTTTGTAGAAAGTCACTAAATCCTTGCTGAGCCCCAGGACACCGTGCAGCTCTATTTCTGGCTCTAAAACAATGTGGACCTCAGAAGCTGCTTCCTCTGGGACCCCTGTGGCTCCGGGAGGCGGAGCAAGGCCGGCCAGGCCGTTAGCAGTGCTGCCGGTACAATTAGAAGCCGCTCTCACATCTGGTGGCAGTTCTCCTGGAGCCAGGCACTGGGCCCAGTAAGAACCGGACGAAAGATGACTGAGGCACTCAGAGACCTCTGGCCTGGTGGGCCAGGTTCCTGCTCTCCTGCGTCACCCTAGCATCTCTTTGTCCCCCTGCAGGTGGCCTTGCTGCTGAAGAGATGGTGAGTTTCCCAGTGGTCCTGGACTCCTTTCGGCGGGTACCTCGGCCCAGCAGCCTCTTGCTCCTCGTCCACCTCCTCCTCCTCCTCCTCCTCCGGCCTGAGGCGCCAAACGCAGGTAGTGCGCCCGATCTGCAGCCCAGCCAGCCAGGTCATGAGCACATCAGCTCCTACCCACCCCTCCCGCAGGCGCTCACAGGGCTGAGATGCAGTAACCATGTCAGGTGCTGGTATTTAAAGAGATTTCCATCCCAGTGGTTCAAGAGCCACTGGCCGCAAACCGGTGCTCCTCCACCCTCTCTCAGCCACCCAGCATTCCCACGCACCCCACGACCCCGCAGCTCTCAAGCGCAGCAGGGGCAGAACAAGAGGGTGCCAAGTAACTCTTATCGGTCTGTGCTTGGGCTGAACTGGATGGGAAATGCTTGTAAATCCACCTGTGCTGCTGTGCATGACCAGGCTGCAAGAGAGGTGCACCTGAAGGTTTGGGAGCACAGCTAAGGGAGTCATTTGTTTTTTTTCCACAAAGCCAAGAAGAGTCCTAGATAGGACGAATTATTTGAGCAGAGACTTTCAGGAGACCTATTCTCTAGAAAGATGGCAGATGGAGGGTAAACTGAAACAGGGTGCACCCAGGGAGAGGGCCAAGCATCAGGTGTGTGTTGGGGGGGGGTGTACGCGGGGGGCGGGGGAGCTGGAGAGGGAAGCCGGCTGGAAAGGTGTTGGGTCTTCCCCCAGTGGCAACAAAGGGCTCAAACGGACTGGACAAAGAAGGCCACAACCATGCTCCGCCAGCAGAGTGGGGGCGGGAGGGACTGGTGAAGGGGGAGCTTGGGGTGAGGTTTTAGCCAAACCTGGGAAGCACCTAGTTTTTGGCTGCGCTTTGAAAACAGGAAAGGAGGTGCATGGATGGCAGAGTGAAGGGCGTGAGCGCTGGGCAGCAGAAAGTCGGTAACTGCGACTTTCACAGGAATGGCAGAAAACAGACTAGCCTGGGGGACTGCAGGACCGGACGAAGGATCAAATGACAGCTCCTGGTGAATAGAAATCTGCAAGGCAGGATTTGATTTAAAAAAAAAAATCAAACAAGGAGCCCCATGGATTACTTTAACGCCCTTTGTTGTTATGGAAGCTGTGCACATGTATAGGATAAAAATAGGAAAAGCAGACAAAGCAAACTTCTATTCCCATTTGCAGAAGTGACCAATTCATGTCTTTCATGACAATTACTTGTTCAAGACACCTGACAGGCTGCCCCGTAGCGTGACTCACCTTCCTCACTTGCAGGGCTTGCTATAGATTTCTGAGCTGCAAAAAGACAGGACAAAAACTGACATTGGAGGGAGCTGGCTGTGGCCACTGTTCTGGCTTCTCGTCCTAGAGTTCCAGGTGATTGGCCCTGAGGATCCCATCCTGGTGCACGTTGGGGACGAGGTGGACTTCCCGTGCCACCTGTCCCCGTACCGGGACGCAGAGCACATGGAGATCCGCTGGTTCCGGAGCCAGGCCTCAGAGGTGGTGCACCTGTACCGCGAGCGGCAGGAGCTCCCCGGGCAGCAGATGGCGCAGTTCCGGAACAGGACCAAACTCTTCAAGGACGACATCGCGGAAGGCATCGTGATCCTGCAGCTCCGCGGCGTGGTCCCCGCCGACGAGGGCCCCTACGGGTGCCGCTTCCTCTCCAGCGACTTCTCGGGGGAGGCTGTCTGGGTTCTGGAGGTAGCAGGTGCGTGACCTGGCGTCAGCGCGGGGAGGGGCGGCGGGGAGGAAACGGTCCGTTTGGAAAGAGCCGCTTTGCTCCAGAGTAAGTAGGGAAGACCAGACAACAGGGAAATAGCTCTATTTAAAAAAACATTAATAATAATAAAATAAAAATAAAAAAGAAAGCTCCATTAGAAAAATAAACAAAAAAATTGTTCAAGAGATACACAAATGGCCCTTAAACATATGGAAAGATGATCACTTTTATTCATAATGGCGGGGGGAGGCAAATTAAAGCCACAGTGACATGCAATGTTTTACCTCTCAGACTTGCAAAAATTTAAAAATTCGACCCTACACTCCTGGTGGAGCTGTGGGGAAGCAGACCGCCTGCCTCTGCCCCATGTTGACAAGGGTCAAAGTTACAAAGCTCCAGTGCCTGGGAATATGGCAATGACAGGATTGTCTGTGCCCCTACCTTTTGAACACCAATCCCACCTCTAGGAGTTTACCCTGAGGGTGCACCTCCCACAGATAAATGGGGAAAAGGCATATGTATAAGTTTAAACTTCGTAGCATTACTTGTCATTGCAAATCAGCAGATAACTTGAATCAGCACACGCAGGTGCTGAGTACAGCCCGTGATGTGCGGAGTGGTCCATACCCTGCAGCTGAACACAGGAGGAGGAGCTCCGTGAACGGGTGTGGAGTGCTGTCTAGGTTGTCGTTAACAGAAAAAAAAAGCAAGATGCATACGGTTGTCTGTGGTCTGTAAGCTCCTGTTTAAGAAAGAAGGAGGAGCCCAAAGGAAACACAGGGAGGATACACTAGAAACTAATGAAAATAAGGACCTAAGGCAGGGGGTGCAATGGGAGGGAAAGGATGAGAAAGGTCTGGGGCTTTCCTGACATATGCTTTCTACAGTATTGGCATTTGAACCACCTTAACATTTTGCATATTTAAAGCACAGAGCTAGCACCTCAAGGATGGAACAATAGAGGAGTGCACATGTCACAAGTATTATACTTGAGCTCTGGTGGGACTCAGGAGAGAGAGAGGACGGTCTGTTGAAATTCGGGGAGAGATTATTCTTCATTCTTGGATACTGTCCCTTGCGTAATATGGCTAATTGTCAGTAGCCCTTTCGAGTCAAACAGACCCCCTCCCTATTTCCAAATGTTGCTCAGGGGTAGTACTGTCCCCACATGCCACCACTGATTCAGGCTGTCATTTACAGTCGATGGGTGGAGGCTATGAGCCCACAAGCGTGTTAAGAGAAGTCACAGTTCATGATGCCTTATGGTGACTGCAAACGAGTTTCAGCCACAACTTCTGGGAAGGAGCCTAATTTTTCCCACTCCTCCTGCTTCTCCCAGGGATGGGGTCAGACCCCCACATCTCCCTTGAGGGCTTCAAGAAAGGGGGCATTCAGATGAGGTGCAGCTCCAGTGGCTGGTACCCCAAGCCCCAGGCTCAGTGGAGAGACCATCAGGGACAGTGCCTGCCTACGGAGTCCGAAGCCATCACCCAGGACGCCCAGGGCCTGTTCAGTCTGGAAACATCCGTGGTTGTCCAAGGGGGCGCCCACAGCAACGTGTCCTGCTCCATCCAGAATCCCTTCCTCCTCCAGAAGAAAGAGTTTGTGGTCCAAATAGCAGGTCAGTGGGTGCTGGCTCACTTTTGTCTTCCTAATCATCACAATTTCCATGTCCATTGTCTCAAAGGCCACCTATAAGGACACCATGGCATGGGGCCTGGCTGTGTACGGGTGGGCTAACCTCAACATCTGGAAAGTCAGCAATTTGGATATTAGGAATGTACTTAGAATACAACTGACAACCCAAACCATAAGCAGGGAAGGCTCCAGAGAGACAACATTGCAAGGTCATGAGCTAACACCCAGAAGCTCCACGCACTGGAGGGAAGTGTTCCTAACACCACCCCTCAATCAGTTTTTACTGAGCACACACAATGTGCCCCAAGTCCCCGCCCTCAGTTTCCCATTCCAGTGGGGGAAACAAAAAGGTGAGTTATATTACGCCTTAGAAGGTGTCAGGTGCTGTAGAGGAAAATCAAGGAAGAGTGGTGAGACTTGGTGGGGTGTGTATGTGGATTTCGAAGTGGTGGATCAGGGAAGAAGTCAGTTAGGCAAAGAGTTGAAGGTGAGGTTATTATCTAGCATCAAAGTCTTTTCATGAGGCGCCCACTGAGAGATTTGATGTTCACAACTCTAAATGATGGGCAAACCCAACATCTGGGCCACTTCCCACACAGATCCAAATGAATAGTTATGTTACAACAACAGAAAGAAATCTCACCCTTGTAAGTAATAACTCGTCCTCAGGTAAGAGGACTTGACAGCACACACAGTTCATTCAAAATTGAGCTGGTAATTGGGGTGGCCATCTGGTTTGGTTAATTATCTTTATCCAAAGATAAAATATTTCATATCTTTATGATAAGAATGTAGTTACACCCTGGCTGGTGTGGCTCAGTGGAATGAGCACCAGCCTGTGGACCAAGAGGTTCCCGGTTTGATTCCCATAGGGACAAAGGCCTGGGTTGTGGGCTAGGTCCCCAGTTGCGGGTGTGCAAGAGGGGAAAAAAAGAACACAGTCACAACTTCGAGGCAGGTACCTCCATTAAACTCCCTGGACACAAGGATAGAGATGCTTTCTCCTGGATGTTTACATTCCAAAGAGAGAGCTCTGAGCTCCCGAAGAGAAACATTCCTGAGCTGCACAGCTGACAAGAGGCTTATTTAGCTTTCAAAAGGATTTGCATACATCTCAATAGGATAGAAAAAAAGATTTACAAGTTTTGCTAAGGAAATGGTCTAAGAAAGGGGAAGTCTCTTTACCTTTTTGCAACAGGGAAATTCCAATTTTCTTTTTTCTTTTTAGACTTATGTTCATCCTTTATAAAGGGCATGAGTCATGGATATTTGTTGGGGGCATTCAGGTTGAGGGAACAGCAAATGCAAAGGACCTGACAGGGGATGTGTGTGGCTGCTGCGGGAGCAGAAGGTCAGGGACGACAAGATCCTCTCCCAGGAGGGAACAGGGACAAGATGAGAGTGGCATCAGACCCTGAGTCTTTGCTCTCAACCGCTAGGTCAATGCTTAGCAAACCATCTGTGGTGAAGGACCAATCCATTGTGGACCAATAGTTTTGCACCAGACAAGAAAAATGGACAGCTGGGAAATTAAAAACAAACCAAAAACAAAAATTAAGAGCACACTGTGCTAAGTGAATTAAGCCAGGCACAAAAGGACAGATATTGCGTGATTCCCCTTTTATAAGGCACCTAGGCAATTCATAGAGATGGAAGGGAGTACAGGGATTACCAGAGGCGAGGAGGAGGGCCAAGCGGGGAGCTCGTGTCCAACGGGGACAGACCTCAGTGTGGGGAGGTGGAAAAAGTGCAGGTGGTGATGGCTGCACAACCATGTGAATGCGCTTAATGCCCCTGAACTGTAACCTTAAAAATGGTTAAGATGGTACAGTTTATGTTATGTATACTTAACCACAATAAAAAGAAAAAAACTATTTTAAAAGACCACTGAGGTAAAAACATCAATTTTTTATAGTTTTCTTCAGCAGACACGAAATTGCTCTATTAAACTGCCACAAGAGTTTCTAAGGGGTTATTCTCGTTTTGCCCGTATCTGTCGACTGTCTGCGGGGGCCTCCCTAGGGAACCTGGGGAGGACGGAGGGGTCGGTCAGTCAGGCCCCGCGCGGCTTTGCTACCAACTCTTCCGAAAGTGTGATGAGCAGCGGAAGCCAAGTGTTAGCGAGAAGCGTGGAGATGGCTATTAACTCGCTGGGTTTCCGATACCCACAAAACACCGTGGATTCGCATGCAAGGCAGGAGTGGGAAGCAGCAGAGGCAGGTCAGGGCCGTGGTCCCAGCAGCTGGAAGCGCCCCTTCTTTCCATCCCTCGGTTTGCAGCGCTTGCCCTTTGCACGGAGCTAATCCATCCCAGTCGCCGGCCTTCCCGGGTTCCTACCTCCGCGGAGCCCGCGCCGCCGCCGCGGCGCCCATTTTACCGCTGGCTCTGCGGCGCCCGAGGCGCTCGCGTCGCCAGCCCGTCCCTCGCACGGTTCTCCAGCACGTGACGTCCGGGAGCGTCCGTACCTGTGTTCTAGGCGCCTAAATCCAGACAACTCCCTGTGGGTGTTTTCCAGACGTATTTCTACCCGGACCCTCGGCGTGGAAGACAGCTTTCCTCGGGACGCTGGTGGGCGGCCTGCCGCTGCTGCTGGCCCTCCTCACCACGCTGCTGCTGTGCTGGTTTCACAGGGAACGGCGGTCCCGAGGTACCGGCCGGCGGGGCGGGCGTCCGGCGCCGGCTCGCGGGAGGGGCGGGGCGGCGCGGGGCGGCGCGGGGCGGGCCTCGGACCCGCCGGGAGCGCGCGCCCACGTCCTCCCCCTTCCTTTTTCTTTTCAGAAAAGCTGAAGGAGCAGGCGGACAGAGACAAAGGTGAGCGGGAGGAGAGGCGCGCCCTCGGCCCCAACCTTTGCCCAGCAGAAGGGGGCCCTGGGGCACCCAGGGGAGGAGGCCGGCCCGGGGGCTGGAGAGCTGGGCGGGGGACGAGGGGCAGAGGTTTGCGCTCCCGCCTCCCCGGCCTCGGAGCCCGCTCCTCCTGCGCGTCCCCCACAGCCTGGTCCCAGAACGCACGGGGACCGAGCCTGTGCACTTTGGGGAAGCGAGGCGTCAGTGTTCTTTGTTCGAGATTTTCCTCTCTTCTTCATTTTTTCTCCAGGGAAACTCACAGCAGAGCTGGGTATGTTCTGGGTGCCGCGCCCGCAGCGCTGGCTGCGGGCTCCTCGGGTAACGCGAAGCTGTGGAAGGAAGGGTTCGGTGACTTTCGGCTCCCTTTGGAAAGCGATAGATGGCAGGGTCTAATTTTTAATCCACCGTCTGCACCTCCCACCTCTTCACTCCCACACAGACTAGCGAAGCTGCCCGGGGACGCCTGGCCCTAGACTCTGTGGGCAGATCCAGCAGCCCCTTCCCTGCCAATTTTACGAGTCACTTACAATTTCACCGTTAAACGTTTACTCTCACTGACTGGTTCATCTTCCTAGGATGTCCTTCCCTTTTTAAAGCAAATGCCACTGGGAAGGGTGGCACCTTGAATTTGTTCGAAAGTGAGTGTAGCATAAACACAGTGCAGTCTGAATTAGTGTATGGTGCTGCTATTCCCAGCGGCATTTATTTACTCTTTTAAAAGACTCGGGGTGGAGAAATCAAAGGAATGCATTTTTAGTGATGAACTGTTGGCATCCGACCAGGGGAAGAGATTCAGTGTTAGTGTCTTTTCAGTCTTTTAAACAGTGCGCTCTGTAGGTGGCCCTGAGCCCCAGGCAGGCTGTGCTTAGCGCCTGGGCGTACCCAGAAAAAATAGTCATGTCAGGGCAGAGGAGCAGCAGCCCCTTCAAACCAGACCTGGGCGCTGGGAAGAGGCTCCTCAGTGCCAAGACCCTCTCTCCCCACCTCCACCCTCACCCCGCGCCGATTTCTGCCCTGGCGCAAATAGGATGAGGCCTTAGGATCTTGCCAATGGGCGACGCAGAGTCCCAGGTGGGAGTGGGCTGAGCGGTGGTTTAAGACTGGGAGCACCTTCACGCAGCCTGCCTGCCTTGGGCGGGAGGCTCCAGGCAGCCCAAGGCTGATGTGTTCTCCATGTGTTCTGCTTATAGGGAAGCTGCAGACCGAGCTTGGTAAGTGACCTCTTAGGACTAGCTCTTCTTGTCCATGGTTTAGCAACTGGTTATCCATGTAAGTTCTCATCTCTCAACCAGGTATGCTGGCCAAGCTGGAACCCTGCTGGCTCGGGGGAGGGGGGGTAGGAGAAAGGGGGGGCGCGGGGCGCAAATTTGGTAAGTGAGCAGAGAAGCTGCAGAAACCTGGTGTTCTAATTTTGTATTTCTTTAACTGCTTCAGACTGGAGAAGGGCTGAAGGCCAGGCAGGTGAGTGAAGCCCACGTCCCTGCCACTGTCCACTTTACAGCTCAGCATGCCAGTCACTGTCTCTGATTAACCGTCCACATTCCATCCCGGTTTATGCCACAGCCTCGCTCGGCATGAATTGATCTGTCACGGGTAACAGTTATGTCTGAGTTTTGCTTTCCTAATGTTTTATATTGCCCCACGGTGTAAGCATGCACTGGTGCCAGCCCTGGCAGCACGCAAGCACCCCCTGGACTCCTGGTGCCCCCCTCAAAGGCAGGGGTGGGCCTGTTACCCTATATGTAAACATTTCCCTTGTATCTCCCTCTATTCCCCCATAAAGCAAGCAGTCTAACATCTGTCTTTGTATTCTATGTATTCTTGCAAAATGTGATTTTCTGTTTTGTGCACATGCATTTTAGTTTACATAAACTACTTTTACAGTCTGGGGGTGTTCCTGGTGTTTCTCCTACATCAGTGTGTGTTAGTGCCCACCCTGCTGCCACGTGAGCACCTGGTCAGCTTCTCCTTCCTGCTGCCCAGCCCCCCCTCAAGCCAGCCACTGTCCTGGAGGCGGCAGCGGCCCTCCTCCCACTCCGCACTGCACAAACAGCACAGGCATGTCTCCTTTGGGCCGTGCGGAGGTTTCTCTGGGTCATTCATCTGGGAGGGGAATTGCTGGCCCATGGAGGTTTGTCACCACGTGGGACAGAGCGATCCCCAGGGCAGGGCCGTCATCCTGCCACCGGCAATTGCGCGGAGGCTCCCCACGCCCACATTCTGCATGAGCTCTCCTTCTGAGTTTGCCTGTGAGTGGGGAGGAATGATTCTCACTGTCCTTTTGGTCTGCACTCCTGTGGACACTAAGGAGTTCGGGCATCTCTTAGATGCTAGTTAGCTGTTGGAGATTCCTCTTCTGAACATTGCCTGTTCCTATCCCTTTGCCCAGTTTTCACATAGGGTCACCATCGTTTTCTTACTGATTCACAGGATATATGTATGTATGTGTATGTGTGTATGATATTACTCACTCATTGGTATTAAATATTATGAATTCCTTTCTCTGTTCTGCCATCTGCCCTTAGCTTTGTCCATAGTACCTCTTGTTGAAATCATTACTTTTGATAAAACCTAGTTCATCTAGGTTTTTTTTTACCTATGCATTTTTTTTACTTATGCATTTTTTACCTATGGCTTGTTCTTTTGCAGTTTTGTTGAAGTAGACCTTCCTCATACTTAAGTCACAAAGATTCTCTTACATTTTCTTCTATTCACTTTGTATGTGTAGGGTCTTTAATCCATCTGAATTTTGCCGTTATCTGTGGTGTTGAGTGATAATCCAGAGAGTTTTCTCCACAGAGAGCCGACTTTCCCAGTGCCATCTGCTGCCCCGCCCGCGATTTCCTCGCTGATGTGGCTGTCACCTTTAGCGCATATTCGGTTCCCACATTCAGGTGTGTCCGTCTGTGGGCCACCTATTATGTCACTATTCCCACTGCTGTTGCTCTTATAGCACTTGAAAGTGCTCCATTTCCACTTCCTTTTCAAAGTGAATGAACCTTTTTAAAAGATAAATTTTAGGATAATTTTAGGAAGTTCCTTTTAAAAATCCAAAAATAGTTCTGTGTAGGATTGCTTTGAATTTGTAGCTAAATTTAGGGAAAATCAACATCTTCATAGAATTGAGGTTTTCTGTGCAAAAGCTTTATGTTTATAAAGTTCTACTGGTTATTCTTAGGCAAAGCCAGGGTTGAGAAATCCTGCTATAAATTCATGGAGATCTGAAATGTCTTCTACTGCTCTTGCTCTTCTGTGATTTGGTGATGTCTCTGTTATAAAACAGAACAAGATGAAATGAAACAGAAATCCACTCAGAATGGTGCTCGTTCAGACAGGAGGCAGGACAGGGTGTCTAGAGGACATGTTAGGACAGGAGCCAGCCTCAGCCGGGCCTCCCGAGGCCCCAGCTTGCCAGTCAGAGATTGAGGCTTTATCTCCGCCCACCAGGGTGCACAGGCTGCGTCTGTTCACTCCCTTTGCCCACACGCTCTGCTCTCGTGCGCTCCCAGCACAGCTTCAGCCCGCATGCAGCTTTGGTATAGCCCCGCACTGACACCAGCCCCTCACTCAATCCTCAGTGCCCAGGAAAATGCTGTGGTGGATTCATGCCAGCCTGGCCCTAAACCAGCTGTCATGGTGGGGCTGGGGCCATTCGGTGCTACTGTGTCCCTCATGCATCTTGAGTCTCTCTCAAGGTCCCCCAGTTACTGAGCTCTCTGAGCCTCTTTTCCCTCTGTTTGGTTTCAGAGTGGAGAGCAGCCCAACAACATGCAGGTAACGGAAACCAAGGCGCTGTGACATGACTTGGATCAGCTGGATCTTAAACAGAGGGAGGTGGGAAGATCTGAGATTAGAGGAAGGGTCTGTCCAAAGCCAAGTGTGAGCCTGCGCACACAAACACACAAGTCCTCTTGCACACATGTGACATGACCCACCCACCTGCCCGTGCATACATGCACACACTTCTGTACATGCACGTGGCTGGCTCACACATGCATACATTGGTGTGCACACATGCCCCTGCAAGCATAGAGCTTTCTGGGTTTTACTGCGTCTTTCCATCTGGCAGGGAGGCTGTTTGCAGGAGTGAATGCAGAGTTTGTAAGGAAGTTTTCAGATGGTCTGACAGAAGGGATCCTTTGGGGTCGCGTCCACCAAATGAGTGTGTTTCCGCAGCTATGGCGACAGAATACAGTGCACTAGACTAGAGGATCTCAGAGATCCCCTTCAGTTTTAAAATCCTAGAAGGGCTGTAAAGCTGAGGTCCAGAGCTCGCCGGCGCTTTGTACACCGCACTGGCAGTGAGGCCAGTCAAGCTAGCGCCAGCACTGGGCTCCTTCCCTTTGACCAGGACTCTAGGGCAGTGAGCCCTCCCCCATCCCCACATGCCTTCCGTGTTTGCTGGGTCTCCTCTCCATGGCACTCGCTATAGTGACTTGCATGCCACTTCAGTCCCAGGTGTTTCGGGTTGAGGGTGGGTGTGAATATTCCACCAATTGCTCCACTGACAGAAATAGAGGTTGACCTGTCCCGGCGAGTAGACAGGGAGGGCCCAGAACCGTCCCCGCGGGCACTAACCCAGCGCCTCTGCGCAGTGGACGTGACCCTGGATCCAGCCTCGGCGCACCCCAGCCTGGAGGTCTCCCAGGATGGCAAGAGCGTGCTCTCCCGCAAGGCAGCGCCAGTTGTGGCAGGGCTGGGAGACCCGCAGCGGTTCACCAAGCAGACGTGTGTGCTGAGCCGCGAGCGCTTCCAGGCCGGCCGCCACTACTGGGAGGTGGATGTGGGCCGGCGCAGCCGCTGGTTCCTGGGCGCCTGCCTGGAGGCGGTGGCGCGGGCGGGCCGGGCGCGCTTGAGCCCGGCCACCGGCTACTGGGTGATGGGGCTGTGGAACAGCAGCGAGTACTTCGTCCTGGAGCCTCAGCGCGTGGCGCTGTCCGTGCGCGTGCCACCCCGGCGCGTGGGTGTCTTCCTGGACTACGAGGCCGGAAAACTGTCCTTCTTCAACGTGACCGACGGCTCCCACATCTATACCTTCACCGACAGCTTCTCAGGGCCTCTCTGTGCGTACTTCAGGCCCAGAGCCCCCGACGGCAGCGAGGACGCGGATCCGCTCACCATCTGCCGATGGCAGGTTCGCACGACATGCCTCCAGGAAGAGGATGACGGTGACACCTGGGCACAGCCCTACGAGCCCTCGGACATCGCCTGGCTCCATAGCGAGGAGATCTTCCTCTGGGATGGAGGGAGCATCGTTGAAAAGCCAGCAAAGGCGACAGACTGCGCAGCAGAAGGGGACAGAGAGAGGGAGTTGGTGGTATAGATGTGAACGTGTGTCTTTAAAATTTTCTTTAAGAAAAGAGGCAATTCCAAAGCTTGTCTGTGTGTATCATGGGACTGAGCAAATGAGTAAGAATGTACTGATGTTGCCGGCACCGGGGGGTGCTCAGTGGGGAAGAGGGCAGGAAACTGGGAGGGGAAAGAAGGGGAGAGACCTGAGTGGATTAAAGGTATCGGTTAATTTGCATATTTGTATGTGTTTGTATATATTTTCTAGTTCGTGAGAAATGAATCCACCTTGGGCTCATATCCCGGGTTTAAATGTCAGTTCCTACTGCCAGGAACTTAAGAAATGGCTGATTCTGGGGCAGGGACTTAAAAAGCCCAAACATGCTCAGAACTGAGGGGAAGAGCAGGAGGTCATAGGAGGAAGGCTGAAGGGGACCCGCTGGCCAACCATGGGGCAGTTAAAGAGGGTAATGACTTGATCAACAAGGGGTAGGGCAAATACATTTCACAGAGTGTGCTGAGAGGTTTCTCAGAGAAAGAAAATACAGGAAGGGGAAAGAAGAGAGTGAATGACTCTCAACTCGCGGCTTTGACTCTGTAGAGCTCAACGGAACACGCACATGTGGCCGGTGGGTGGGGGGTGTGGACCAGCACACGCTGGTCCTGGCTCTGCTTTGAGGGCTTAAAAACAATGGCACCCCAGCACATCTAGCTCTCAGAACTTGTTTTTTGTGCTATTTTCCACTAGAAGGAACCAAGGCTCCTTGGAGAAATGACAGACTCTGGATCTGGGGCAGGGAAAACTGAAGGCATGTGTGATATTGTAAATACACACACACACACACACACACACACACACACACACACACATAGTGCGGCACAAATAATGGCCCTTTTTATTACAAAATCTTATGAAATCATAAGCATGTAATTCTGTAACATAACACTAGCACACTCAAGCACACCGCATGGCATTTTAGGTGAATGTTCAAATTAAAACTATAAATGATTACACCCATATTACTACCCTACAAACCACACTCAAGCAGATGTTACTTTTGCTGAGCCCTGTGTATGGTCTGTCCAGAAGGTATCCAGCCATGTACTATGAAAAATAGAGACATTTCTTGAAGAATATATAAGATACAAGAAACACTGTACATAGGACAACACCTTAGTCCCCTTCAAAGCAGGCACCTTGGGACCTCACACAGTTCTCCTAGTCACCATCAGCTGCCCCATCATATTTGCCTGAATTTCATTGATGATTTGAAATCTCTTTTCTTCCAAAGGTGATTTTAGTTTTGGGAAAATCCAGAAGTCACAGGGCACCAAATCTGGGCTGTAAAGGGGTTGAGTCACCAGGTGATTTGATGTTTTGCCAAAAAACTGCACAAGATGTGATGCATGAGCGAAATCATTGTCATAATGAAGCTGCTAATCACCAGTTGCCCATAGCTGCAGCCTTCTGAATCTTCTGAATAACTTCCATGGAGGAATGTTCAAGCTTACTGCAAAATTTGATGCAGGTTCATTGCTCTACTCAGTCATTTTGAAAGCAATAGCCACACAGTACACATGCTCACTCAGTGATGTCTACTGCTCCCACTGACTAGTACAGTGAAGTCCTCATTGTTCACACCTGCACATTCCAGTCCACTCTCCTTGGCTGCCAGGTTACATCGACATCACTCAAACCATTCTTGTTATATTAACAATGGCTGGACTTTTTCCAGACAGACTGTGTGTGTGTGTGTCCGTGTGTACATATATACACACAGACACACATATAGTCTTTACATTCTGGCACAGAGATCCTAAAAACCTTGGAATTTCCTAAATGATAAGAGTAATGAGGGTGTCTTAATATTCTTAACAGGCCCCTTTGAAATACACCTGAGGATCTGGTCTGGCTGCCTGAAGAGCCAATAAGTCATTAGAGGTGTAACTTAGCCCCACCTCCACCCCAGCTCCAGAGGAGCTGGAGATTTAGTTCTGTCATCTGTGGCCAATGATTTAATGTCATGCAAATATAGTAAAGCCTCCATAAAAACCCAAAAGGACTGGGTTCCAGGATTTCCAGGTGGCTGAACACTTGGAGATTAGGGAACGTGGTGCTCAGAGCAAGGAAGCTCTGCACCCTTTTCCACACACCTTGCCTTATGCATCTTTTCTATCTAGCTATTCCTGTGTTATATACTTTTATAATAAACCAGGAATCTTGTAGCAAACTGTTTTTCCTGAGTTCTATGAGCCACTCTAGTAAATTAATCAAACCCAGATAGGCTGTGATGGGAACTTCATATATAGCCAGTTGGTCAGAACACACAGGTAACAACCTAGACTTGCCATTAATATGTGAAGCAGGGGGCAGTCATGTAGGACTGAGCTCTTAACCTGTGGGATCTGACTCTGTCTCTCGGTAGACAGTGTCAGAATTGAGTTACTAGTCTGGCAGTGTTGAAAAAAACACCACATACTGGAATGGGTCTAAAACACCCTGTACCAAAATGAAGTGCTCGAAGGATGACAGGGAAATGTCAATTGGACAGAGGAGCAAGTTTTAAGGGACTCCTGTTGGCCAAATTTGAACATCAAGTAATGAATGGCAGTTAAAGTTTGAGTAAAATAAAAATCCAATAATATGTATATCTACACTGATTATGAAAATAAATGCATGAATAAATCAATAAATGGGAGCGAAGAGAAAGCTATACCCTACTATTGAAGTCTCAAACTATCTCCCCCACAAAATACTGACTGCTTATGGGGAGGCAATACAATAAATGATAAATAATAACACAAGAATAAACTATTTCCTGTATTCACAACTGTAAAGCTACTTTGCCCACCCCTGTATTAATTTAGAAGTACAAAACACTTATTAATCAACTTTGCAGCGGAGGAGCCTGGCAGATGCCAGCCTGACTGCGGCGTCACCCTGGACGAGGCTCGTCCAAGCCCCCTGACGGAAGGCTGCCTGGAGGGCCCCTGGCCAGAAGGAATGTGTGTTGTTTTGGAAATGGATTGCAATTCCCTCCTTATCTCCTTTTGGGAGTGGCTTCCTGTGCTGTGACTGTCTCTTGGACTTTTTTCTTTCTGCACATACAAGCTGAGATAGGACATATGCCCCCTTTGTCTGGGACCTCTTAAAACAAGCCTTGGACTCAGAGAGGTGCGGTCCTGCTTTGCTGATCTGCTGTGGTTCGTGCTCCTTGTCATGCGAGTAATAAATGGTATGTCTGCTCCACCAGGTCCCCTGGAGGTTTCTTCAACTTATCCGAATGAGCAGCCGAGATCCCCGGGCTTGTCCTCCTGTGTTACATTAACCCAGTGACAAAAATTAACATCACCAGATAGGACAAATTCATATCACATGCCTCCTGATACAGTGCAGTGATAAGAAATATGCAAATCATGAGGCAACACTGGTGAAACTGGCTGATACTCTAAAAATGTCAAGGTCATGAAAGAGAAGACTAAAGAATTGTTTCAGATTGAAGGAGACTAAAGTGACGTGACAACTAAACACCATAGGTGACTCTGGATGGGATCCTGGGGTCTACAAAAGACATTAGGAGGAAAAAGGGGCCATTGAAAATGGTTCCAAATCAGATAGTAATATTGGATAAATGTTAATTTTCTGACTTGATGCAAAAGAATGTCCTTAACTTAAGACAGTAGACATTTAAGTTTTAAGGGGTAATGGGACATGATGTTTGTACCTTATTCTCAAATCGTTCATTGAAAAATATAGTGATACATAGAATGATAAAGGAATGCAGTGGTGTCTGATAAATGTTGAATAATTAGCTTTCTGAAAAAAAGCTGCAGCATTTGTTGGTTTCCATGTTGTAAATACTCCCACGGTGACTGATTTCGACCTCATAGGTGACATCGCTGGCGGAGCTGGGAAGAGGTGTGCGCGACAAGCTGCGGCACGGCGCCAGCCCCCGCACACCGCTGGCCCAGGCCGTTTCGCGCCGCGCACCCAGCCATTCGCTGTGATTTGTTTCTCTTACAAATCAAATAACCACATTTTCGAGTTTATAAAAATATGATCAGCTACCTGTTAGCCTTATTAATATACCACGTATAATATTCAGAAGAGGAAAGTTTTATTTTCTATAATCATTTGCATTAGCATGCAAATATTTTAGGGTCCTACTCACAAATGTTTTGGTAACATTAAAAATACGTTCCTTGACTGTATGCAATCATTATCTATTCCTTTAAGGTCATTTTTATGTATTAAATAGGGAAAGCAAACATAAAGCTAATCCAAAAGGCAACATTAAATTATTTTTAAATAACCAGCTGTTCCATCAGTGCATTTTAAATAACAGGAAGTCCTCAGCCTTGAGCTTGGCAGGGATCTCAACTACTTGTTTTGTGAACCATAAAAGCTGCCCTGGAGGCCACTGGGGAGACCAGATCATTCTGAATAGATGCTTGTCTCCTTCCAGCTCTGCCCCCATGACCTCTGACAAGTTTATAAAAATAGGACCTGAACCCTGGCTGGTGTGGCTCAGGGAATTGAGTGCCAGACTGCAAACCAAAGGACTGAAGGTACGAATCCTAATAGGGCAGGTGCCTGGGTTGCTGGCCAGGTCCCCAGTAGCGGGTGCTCTAGAGGCAACCACACATTGATGTTTCTCTCCTCTCCTTCTCCCTCCCTTCCCCTATTTCTAAGAATAAATAAATACAATTAAAAAAAATAGGACATGATATATTTAGTGTTTCCTACTCTTCACGCTTTCCACGCAGCTAGCCTGCAGCGCCGTGACAGGGGAACTCAGCACGTAGATGTGGAGCCCAATCCAGCGCACAAGCCCACCTGTACTGAGTCTGGTTGTGCAGCTTCTGCTTGAGGCGTCCTGTAGACGAGTAAAGCCGCAGGCTGGCAGTGCGGAGAGAGGGCCGTGACCCCGACTGCGGGGGGTGAAGCAAGTTACCATTGGCCCCACAGGAATCTTACCCAGGAGACAAAAGTCCTCAGGCAGCAGGCACCTCCACACCTTGCCGGTGGGTTTATAAACTGGTATGGCCACTTTGAGATCCATTTCGGTAATGTCAACCAGTTTCTAAATGTGACCGCCCTGTGACCCGACAGTTCCGCACCCAGGAAACTGTCCCACAGAAGTGTTTGCATAGCCCCTGAAGACACAGAGGATGTTCACTGAGTCAAGGGGAAAGCAGAGGCTGGAAATCACCCACTTGC